TGAAAACCTCAAATCCTACTTAAGTCATTCGTAGTTTATATATGCGTACACTACAGTACTAATATGTAAGTAAAAATCTAAATATTATAAAATCTCAAAATTATATATTTTCTAATCCGCACTGTATTCCTAAGCCCGCACCATATGACATTATTGAAATATATGCAGTCGATACAATAAGCAGCTGTGCTTTGGTGGGGCATTGGGAATTCAAATTCGCCATCCTTTGTTTTGGTATTTTCTCGGCCCCATATTTTATGGCAAAGGTTGAAATGAATCTGAAAGAATTAAGAGTATATGGGAGGATAACATTAAACGCATCTTAAATAAATGGAGTTTGAGAATATGGATTGTTTTCATCTGGCGCAGTCCAGTGGCGAATCTTCAAGTTGCATGAAGACGATGATTATCTTGACTACAATTATCAGCTTCTCAAGAAGAACCCTTCAAAGGAGACCACTTTTAAGAAGTGCCAACTTAACAGTTGGTGTGACACGAGTGGAGAGAATTTTGTGAAAAATAAATACTCTACTTCATGTTTGGTTTTTGGAATATTCCATCCTGGATCAGTGATTTGAATTCCGCTCAGGGCTTGAATGTTTGTCCGTATTGTGTCTGCATTAAATTGTGATGCAAATGTATTATGAAGACCCATCCTATATTCAAGGATTTCTACGGTTTCTTTTAAAAGGAATTTGGGAAGGTTCTGCGATACATCAGCAAAAATAACCAAACAAATCTGTAACCTTCTTTGGGCTCAATTCACTTGGAGCACGATGTTTTAAGAATAAGTAGCTCCGGGGCACAGCTCCTATAAAGTCTACTTTTCTATTGCATGGATTACTGGTCCTACGAATCTTGTGTTATAATAGCCATGTTTACGTACAACAACAAAACAAAATTTAGTTCACTTGTGTTCCGACGATTAAAACGATCGAGTACGGACGAATGAGTGTGGAGCCATGACCCATCACCAGAATCAAATTAAAATATAAATAACTATAACCAATATATCTTCTCAAAATAAGGCAAAAAATTTAACAGATTAAATCCGGGAAATTCTTGCTTAATTCAGGTCTGGACGAAGTTATGACGGCATGACACATTTCTCACAGTTTTAGGGCAGATCAAACACTAGGATTTGTGGTGAAATCGCGATCGGAGAATGCACGTTTCCCAAAGTCCTATTTTTTTTGTGATCTTTTATCCACGGAGTCTCACAGTTCGCCTGAATAATAATTTTAAAATAATTACATTGAAGGACCCCAAAGCTGCCTCTACGCCTACTCCATTTTATGATTATACACACTTCCACTCGCATAAACATTTGCTTTATCAGGTGACAGTAACAACACTGTGTAAGAAATGTTATTTATTTTCAGCAAAGAAAATATTCACAAACTTCTACTCCACGTTTTGTATCTTCCCCTTTAAGAAGTTGGAAATTACATCAAAATTTACTTTTCTTTTGCAATTTCCGTGTAGTTATGTTCCGTGGCTGAAATTATGTGAATGATATCGGAGCTACCACAATTTTCTCATAACAATTTCATAAATTTGTTCCGTGGTGCTTGGAACACCGGAACAGGCTATAAGCTTTACGACGTAGCCAGTTTCCTCAAACTTCAATAAATGTCCAAACGCACTCCGCGTACGTAACTGGATTTCTTATTGGTTGACTGCTTTAAATTCATCCCATACTTGTCTGTGGGGCCACGCCGTAAAACAAATTGAACCCCGTTCTTCCTGCGCCAAGTAAATTATTCACAACCGCCCTGAACAAAAATTCGACATTGTCACTGGTTTCAGACTTCTCTCAGACGTTCAGTAGTCCTGCACGAAGATGAGACGCGTTTTAAACGTTAATGAAAACCCCCACTCTCGAGTACGTAAATTAAGTCGTGGTTATGAATAAGCAAATAGTTCAGACGTCTTCGTAAGCTTCACGAATCAGTTTGGATGGTTTGTTTCATATGCTGTCCCTCCCTCCAGGACAGCACCAGGGTAATGGCACAAGACAGGAGCGGAAATGCATACCGCAATGGAATTTACGTGTATATATATATATATATATATATATATATATATATATATATACGTATATACAGAATGTCCCATAAACCCCAGGACAATGCAGCAATTTTCCCACTATAAATGTCCCCGTCTTCTGCCAAATAACCAACCTTTCCTATGGCCTCAGGCTTATGGATGTGTTAGCTTTCAAAGGGCACTCTCCTCTTCTGATGTATGCCAACGTACTGCCATGTTTGGGACAATTGCAGAAAGCGGTTTCATGTGAGTTCTCTATTCACGTTGTTCTTAATGTCTTCTTCAAGTGAGAAGTTAACGGCGATCAAGATGGACGGCAAACACTGCCATTTGTTTTGTCGCCAAACGTCGGTTTACATAAAGTACTACATGGGATCGAGAGTTGTCATAATGCAAGAATTTCAGGTCAAATATTTCAAATTCATTAATGTTAGTCGCCGTGAAAGCTTAAGATCATACATCGAATTATCATACATAAATATTAAATTATTTACGTAGTTACTCAACAACTTAAACATTTATTTGACTAGTTAAGTATTTCGTTAGTTAATGAAATGGTTAAATCATTAGAAAGTACTAATTCCAGTTTATTTGGTTACATTTGCATATCTGTTAAATAAACGAATTTGTAAGGAAGTCAGAGCAAATACCCACATGACAGTTTTACGGCTGATATTTGTCTGTGAAGTCGGTCTTGTGACCGGTGCACAGATTCCGCAAATCGTTGGTCCACGTAGAGACTGTCTGTCAATCAACTTGGATCTCGCCGATAGACTAAGCCAAGCAGGGGCAGGTGTTCTCCATTAATTCCCACTGACTGACATTTCAGTTACTTCAAAAACTTCTGTACGTACAGTAAATCCCAGTTAATATAATCTGGAACAAAATCTGCTCTACTGAACTGGTAGGTGTATCTTGACATTTCTGATCGAGGACTTTTGTGATTTTTCTCCAAACAGTATCTTGAAATACTCCTTTCAAACTCCGATTTATACAAGACTATTGGGTTAAGTATCCCAGAAGGCAGACATTTTACATCCAAATTCCTATGGTTACATTTGCATATCTGTTAAATAAACGAATTTGTAAGGAAGTCAGAGCAAATACCCACATGACAGTTTTACGGCTGATATTTGTCTGTGAAGTCGGTCTTGTGACCGGTGCACAGATTCCGCAAATCGTTGGTCCACGTAGAGACTGTCTGT